TATTTGGCGTTAACTCTTCTTCTGCAGATATTCCTGGAGGAGGCGGGGAGAGGGGGGGAGAGGGAGGGGAGAGGGAAGGGATAGAAAAGTGAGAGAGGGGAGAAAAAGAGGAGGAGATAAAGTGAGAGAGAGAGGGAGGAGAGAGAAAGAGAGAGAGAAAGGTGGATGAGAGAGAGTGCATGTATGTGTGTGTGTGCGGAGAAGAAATAGAGAAAGAATGAGATAAAGAGATAGACAGAAGTAATAGATAGAGATAAAAGGAGACACAGATAGACAGAAAAACGAAAGACAGAATAAACTAAAATGCAACAAAAGACAAAAACGAAGACAAGTGAATAAATTAGTATCCAGAACAAAAGAAGTTGAGTATTGCCGGGGAGGGGGAAGACACAACGAATCTTAAATTATATATAAAGGCTTGGACAGAAAACAAGGATATATAACTCAACTCAGGTATATGCCAGGTAGATGTCAGGTAGATAAGGTTAATTAAGGAATGAATCTATGGTGTGTGTGTGTGTGTGTGTGTGTGTGTGTGTGTGTGTATGTAAGAGAGAATAACAGAAAGACAGACAGACAGACAGAATCAGACAAATAGACAAGAGGCAAAGAACACTATAATAATAATAATAATAATAATAATAATAATAATAATAATAATAATAATAATAATGATAATAATAAACACGAATGAATGTATTACCAAACGTTCATTCCCCATCCACTAATTCTCTTAGGCTCAGAGGTCGACACAATCCTTCACCCTGGCCAAGAGCTTAGGGACTTCCCCAGTCTGGCCGAAATTAAGGCAAGGGAAAGTGGGCCAATTGTAAATACGTAAACTACAATGTATTTCTAAGTGTTATAGGGAAAATTCGGGGAAAGTACGGAAGTTATAGGGAAAAATCAGGGAAAATACGTAAGTTATAGGGAAAAATCAGGGAAAATACGTAAGTTATAGGGAAAAATCAGGGAAAGTATGTAAGTTATAGGGAAAAATTAGTGAAGGGGGGGGGTCGTCTTACAGGCATTCCCATAACAACAACAAAAGAAGCATATTCACAAGTTTCAACAGATCTTAGAGACAAAGGGGGAGGGGGGCTGAGAGGGGAGGCTGAGGGGCTGAGAGGGGGGCTGAGGGGGGAGGTTGAGAGGCTGGGAGGGTCTGGGGGGCTGAAAGTCTCTATACGAGGTGACAAAAAGAGGGGCTTGGGGGCTGAAAGTGTCTTACGAGGTGACCAAAAGAGTTCCTTAACCTCTGTTTTTTTTTTCTTCTTATGGACAAGTTTAGGTAAAAGAAGTATATGTGGATGAAGGAGTTTTAAAGGGAGTAGTTTATTGAGAGTATGAAAAGACCTTATTTACTACCCCCTTCACCACCCTACCTTCCTTCTCCCTCTTCCTCCTTCTCCCTTCCTTTATTCCCTCCCTCGTTCCTTCCTACCCCCCTTCATTCCTTCCCTCAATGATATAGAGACTGTCTGTGTACGTCTGTAAGGATATACAATGAGTGTGTTAGGTTAGGTTAGGTTTGGTTAGGTTAGGTTAGGTTAGGTTAGGTTAGGTTAGGTTAGGTTAGGTTAGAGTGTGTGTTATAAGTGGAGTCTGTTGGTATAAAAAATAAAGTACTGTGTTTATGCGTCGGTACAAGCTTTAAATGGACATGTTTGACGTCACAGTTAAGCTGAAGTGTATCTGGGCCGATCCAGTAATGGTTAAATATTGTTGATCCTATACCACTTAACAATACTACTATTGCTATTACCATTCTACCACCACTTACCACCATTCGACCACACTACCACCATCCATCGTCTACCACCACTACCTCCTGCTCTCGTGTTAACTACCATCTACCACAATTCTACCACCTACCATCACTAACCTTCACCTACCACCACGACCACACTACCACCATCCATCGTCTACCACCACTACCTCCTGCTCTCGTGTTAACTACCATCTACCACAATTCTACCACCTACCATCACTAACCTTCACCTACCACCACTACCTCCTGCTTCCAAGTTTCTGATTGGTCACTGGTCAGGTCAGGTAGGGGTCAGGTCAGGTTGGCTACTGGTCAGGTCAGTGCAGCCTATCGACCAGGCTGTCAGTAAAGGCCACTGACTAAATGAACATTGATTTCTCAGCGTCAAAGGAAGACGTGGTCACCCCTATGTTGGCCTGAACCTTTTGTGTCTGTCTGTCTGTCTGTCTGTCTGTCTGTCTATCTATTTATCTAACTTTCTGTTTGTTTGTTTACCTGTCTGTCACACACACACACACACACACATACACACACACACACACACATACACACACACACCTCATTGACTTACATAGTGTAGTGGGATGAAATTACACTCGCTACCACTCACCCTCCGCCCACCTTCCACCCACTCTCCGCCCACCCTCCACCCACTTCCAAGGTCTTTCCTCCGCCTAATTTCAGCGTCACTGCATATTTTCCTTTCCCTATTCCCTTTTTCAACTCCTCCACACTCCCTTCCTTCCTACGTCACCACCCATTTCCAACCCTCCACCCATTTCCAAACCTCCACCCATTTCCAACCCTCCACCCATTTCCAAACCTCCATCCATTTCCAAACCTCCACCCATTTCCAAACCTCCACCCATTTCCAACCCTCCACCCATTTCCAAACCTCCACCCATTTCCAACCTTCCACCCATTCCCAGCACACATAATCGCCCACCTTTAAGTGAACTACTGTATTAGATAGTTAAAAAGAAGACAAACTTACGTATACATCATAATGAGGTCTATCGGGAATTAATGACCAATGAAAAGATAACTTCCATCATTATCTTCATTTGAAAGAAGTATTGCATTCATTTAAGTCACAATGATCTGGTGATAATGCTTTCATTCATTCATTCATTCGTGTGATTATTTAAAGTCTCGTTATTTGTTTAGGTTTAAATACAATTGTGAAAAGCTAAGTTATTAACAACGCCCACCTTCCCTTCTCTCGCCTCCTCCTCCCACTCCTCTCTTTCCTTCCTCTCTCTCTCCTCCCCCTTCTTCCTCTCTTCTCTCCTCCCCCTCCCGTGCGTGGTATTGACCAATCACAGCACGTTTTTTTTTATAAAGGAACCAATGAGAGCACTGTTTAGATAAAAGAACCAATCACAGCACTGTTTAATATATACGAACCAATCACAGCACAGTTTAGAGATAAGAGAACCAATCACAGCTTAGATTTCCAAGGCTATGACCCCCTCTCATTCCTATTACATTGAAAATAGAGGTTACATTTAAATCTCATTAATATCTGGTAATAGTATCCAGCATCACAATTACCAGCGGTCGTCCAGTTAGAAAATAAATTAGTTCTCAGTCAGTGAACGTTTACTTAGAATCAGTTGAAAAAACAAACAAAAAATGCCACAGTTGATCCTGATGTGGTAATCTAATACTGAAACTACACAAGAAATATTTTTTTTTTTGGAAATTTCGTAGAATAAGGAAAAGCCAATAGGGAATTTATATGAGGCGACGTGGGGATGGCTAGCTAGTGTTGGGAATTTGTTACTGAAGTGAATTAGCTCGCTGGGTACTCGTCCCTCCCCTCTTAGCTCTCTCTCTCTCTCTCTCTCTCTCTCTCTCCATCTTAATCACCATGAATATTCAACAGCCACTTTGAATCCAGGGTTTGAAAGCGTTGAAACAGTTCCAAATAAACAGAGCTTAAAGTGTCTATCCCACCCCTCCTCTCCCCACTACCCCTCCTCCCCCTCCCCCAACCCTTCTATAAACAGTAACTACCTACAGCAGAATCCTCCCCCATCTCAGGTGATCACTGGCAGATGTGTACTTAAGCCCCGCCTACATTGCTACATCAGGTGATTGGGTTTAAGACAATATTTATTAGATGTGTGGGTTGTGTGTATAAGCTTTAGAAGAATTGTTAAGAAAATTAATACATAACATTATAGCAACATATATTTAAACCAATATAGACGGTATACATTGATAAAATATACATATATATATATATAGTTATAGAAAACGGGATACAGGAGCCACAGTAATTTAACCAATCAGAACGGAGTTGACAAGCTCTATAGGGTTAGGTTAGGTTTGGTTATTTTAGGTTAGGTTAGGTTATTTTAGGTTAGGTTTGGTTAGGTTAAGTTAGGTTAAGTTATGTTAGGTTAGGTATAATTAAAACTAAGTACTGTACCGGGTGTTAAAACGGCTGTACCCCCTCTAGTGATCATTAGTTACATAATTAATGAAACAATGAGCAATCAATGACACAATTACATAACACACTTCATAACGCTATTTCCACACACACACACAATTACCTAACATTGTCCTTTTCACCTTCACAGTTTGTTGTTCTTGAAAGTTTGTTATGTGTTAGAGCTCTGTGACCGTCATAGAGTTAAAATATTCAAGACTTATGCTATAACTGACCTTCATGTGGGTCTCTCTCTCTCCTCTCTTTCTCTCTCTCTCTCTCTCTCTCTCTCTCTCTCTCTCTCTCTCTCTCTCTCTCTCTCTCTCTCTCTCTCTCTCCGTGTGTGTAAAAAAGCAGATGGAGCACAGAAGAGAGAGACAGACAGAAAAGAGACAGATGAACAGAGAGAGAGAACAGATAATTTCAGAGAGAAGCGAGGGAGAACAGATGAACAGAGAGAGAGAGAGAGAGAGAGAGAGAGAGAGAGAGAGAGAGAGAGAGAGAGAGAGTTATAATTGAGCTAGTTTAGTTTGTATCACTATTTCCTTCGTTAATTTACCACTCACTAGACGTCGTTGGAGCCAATCAAAACTCTTCTTTGGTATATACATTATTTAGTGAGCGACGTCCTATCCCTTACACACTAAATAATAAGACCACACACGACTAACATCCACATACGACTAATATCCACACACGACTAACATCCGCACACTAATAACATCCACACGCCCACAACTCAGTCCCTAACTCCGTATAGGAATAAATGGGGATTCTTTTTTTTTTTTGCTTTAATATAACTTACATGTTCGGTTTGGGGTCCAGGGATTCAGGATTACGATTCAGGGGGTTCGGATTTAGGGGGGCTCGGGATTCGTGGTGTTTGATAATGGATTTTAGACCTAATCTTACACACACACACACACTACCCTCTCCACAACATTGAGCTGGATAATTGGTGGTTGGATAATTAAAGCTCTAAGCAACTTTGGATGATTACAGTCTACACCGAGGGAGCAGGGAAGTTGTTATCCAGGACAGGAAGATATTTGGCACACGTCTCTAATAAGTCACTCCCTTTAAATGGACATAAGACACCCGATAAAGGAGACGTCTTACCCTGGGTGGTCCAAGAGTGTGATTAACCGAGTTCTGGTTAATCGGGACGTTGCTTAACCGGACTCTGGATAACATGAACACGGAGTCGTTTAACCGAATTTCTAGACAAAAGTGGTGTTGATTAAACAGTGTACCGGGTAAACGACTCCGGTTAACCTAGTTCCGGTTAATCGAAAGGTTGTTTAACCCAATACTGATTATAAGATACATTTGTTAACAAAGCCGTTTAGTGCATATGGAATTCGTTTAATAGTCTTACTTAGATGATCACGAATACAGTTAACCGAATTCTGGTTAATCGGGATGACTAGAACACCAGAGCCTGTGGTTAATCGAGATCCGGTTATACGAGACGTCAGGGTAAAGAACCTAGACAGTGATTTACCGAACCCAAAACAATGAGAAAAATAGTTAACCGGCTACTGGCTAACTAGTCTATATACAGATGGAATGGCTTCTGGTTAACAGTGAGTTCGGTTAATTGGATTCATGATTAACAGACTCCTGGATAACAGATTTCGGTTAACTAGAAGCTTGAATATTAAAGCCCATAGTTAAGCTGATGTTTGAACAGCCTGGATAACAAAGTGCTCGGTTAACAAAAGCCTGGATAATATTTCGGTTAATTTGATTGTTGATAACCTCATTCCCGGCTAACAAACCTCAAGGGGTTATCCGGATACTGGATAACGATTGCTCTCTTGTTGTTAACCGGAGGCCTGGTTAATACCCCTCGGTTAACTGGATTCTGGATATTTAAGATTTAAGTTAACCAATGTCTTGATTACCGGATGTTGGGATAACAAGCATCTCAGTTAACCGGCAGCCTGGATAACTGACGTCCAGATACTCAAGACAGTAGTGGATAACCTGACCCTTACATCACTCCTTAAGGGGCCAACGTCTCTCCCTGATCCGTGAGTCAATTGATTCATGATTCAGTTGATCCGTGATTCAGTTGATTCATGAGTCAGTTGATACATGAGTCAGTTGATTCATGAGTGAGATCAATGAGTCAGTTGATGCATGAGTTGGTTAATTCATGAGTCAGTTGATCAATGAGTCAGATCAATGGGTCAGTTGATCCATGAGTCAGTTGATTCATGAGTCAGTTGATTCATGAGTCAGTTGATCCATGAGTTAGTTGATAAATGAGTCGGTTGATTCATGACTCAGTTGATCCATGAGTCAGTTGATCCACGAGTCAGTTGATCCACAAGTCAGGTGATCCGTGAGTCAGGTGATACATGAGTCAATTGATCCGTGAGTCAGGTGATCCGTGAGTCAGGTGATCCTTGGGAGAGTTGGACGCTGGTGGGGGAGGGCAGGAGGGAGGGGCCTCACAGGTGTATGGTAATGAGGGGTCACAGGTAAAGTAATAACAAAGCCAGTGGGAAAGTTCTCTCCAAAAGACATTTAAAAAACACCTTATTAGTTGACAGTTTGTGCTATAATTCTCTGTTAAATTAATATATTCAACACTGAGTACTGTATGTTACATCCGCCACACACACTGAGTTCTGTATGTTACATCCGCCACACACACTGAGTACTGTATGTTACATCCGCCACACACACTGAGTACTGTATGTTACATCCGCCACACACACTGAGTACTGTATGTTACATCCGCCACACACACTGAGTACTGTATGTTACATCCGTCACACACACACTGAGTACTGTATGTTACATCCGTCACACACACTGAGTACTGTATGTTACATCCGCCACACACACTGAGTACTGTATGTTACATCCGTCACACACACTGAGTACTGTATGTTACATCCGCCACACACACTGAGTACTGTATGTTACATCCGTCACACACACACTGAGTACTGTATGTTACATCCGTCACACACACTGAGTACTGTATGTTACATCCGCCACACACACTGAGTACTGTATGTTACATCCGTCACACACAAGAGTATTTTGGTCATCTCCCTCTTTATTAACCATTGTAAATTTGACATAAGTAGTTTAGTAGCATCGAAAAAACAGTCAACATCAATGACAACGTTATCTCACGCACAATACATTATTATTATTATTGATGAAAGTTACCAGCGGCGCCCGGCAGGTAGGACTACAGGTCTGTACACAAGAGTTCTGTAAGTTATGACAAGTTAGGACCTGGCCGGGCTGACCCGCCAGCACAAGCACAAAAGCGGTACAAACTGACCTAGTCTTTGGTGTTGATGCCGTCGGGCACCTCAAAATAACAATGGTAATACCTTGTGTACGGTACAAACACGGTGGCTCGGCTATGTACATCACCACACCACAGGTGAGCCCAGGTGTGTAGCAGGCAGATGTAGGGGGATCATTAAACCTAACCTGCTGTTGCTGCTGAGACAGACACACTCACACTGACGTCCTGTGGTAGCTGCGAGGGACTCCTTCTTGAGACTAGTGACACTGTTACTGGCGTCAGTCACGCTCTCTCCCCACTGTCCTCACAAAAGCTATTTTTATCTGTAGGTGTTCTAGTTAACACGGAGTAATATACTATCTTAATTACAGAGGTCGGACTCCTTCACTGAGTTTGTCACACTCCACACTGATCCACTATGGTCACGCTTTTCACTGAACCACTATGGTCACGCTCCACACTGAACCACTATGGTCACACTCCACACTGAACCTCTATGGTCACGCTCCACACTGAACCACTATGGTCACACTCCACACTGATTTACCTGACACTTTTCTTCAGCTCAACCATTGAGTCACGTAACTTGTGTCACGTCATCATAACAAATCACTATTCCATAACATTTATCAGGTCACGGCGTCAGGTCACTGTGGGAGGGGCTTTGAGGGGAGGACCGAGAAGTGGGGGAGGCTCGTGGGGGTGACGGGCGGGAGGACGAGGAAGAAAGGGGCGAGAAGCGTGATGGGCGTGTTGGTGTGGGGGGAAGGAAGCAGGGACCGCCGCTGCGACGGGCCCTGCGACCCCGCTACACCTCAGTGCCCTCCTGATACCCTTCGTCGGGAGAGTCTCGGGCCTTGATGCGGCTGGCGATGCCGTTGGGGAGAGGAGGAAGGACGGCGACTCCCCCGCGGGCCAGGGGCGGCGCCTGGGACCCCGGCACCCATGGTCGCTCCCCCAGGGGACCTGCAGGACCTTGGGGACTCTCCGCACCTTCCGCCACATCTTCTCGGGACCCGTAAACCTCCTGCCGATACCCATACACTGGCGGCCGACCCTTGGTCACCCCGTACAGGTCCTGCCGCGAGTCTTTTAGGTCCTGGCGTGTGCTGTACACGTCCTGCTGCGAGGCGTACATGTCTTGTCTGGAGGCGTAGGTGTCTGCTCTGGAGTCCACCCCCTCCCGTGCCCCATGGAGGTCTACCATGCTCCAGTCTGTGGCCCCAGGAACTGCTCCTCGGGGCTCTCGTTCATGCCCCGCCTCAGGAATAGGAAGCCCGTAGTCAGCTGGATAGCCATAGTTCTGTGGATCAAAGTCTTCCTGAGATTCATAGCCAGGGCGGTAGGGCGTGGAGTGCACTGGGCCGTATCCGTCGTAGCCCGGGTCGTTGGCCAGGTAGCCAGGGTTGAAGTGCTCGTGGATGATTTTGGAAGGATCAGTGTTGTCGAGGGGCTCCTGAGGGGGGGCGTCCTCTGGCCACAGCCCACTTGGGTAGAGGGAATCACCCTCCACACGCGTGTAGTCACCGCCCTCACTCACGCCCTGGATGGAGCCATTGGGGAGGTGACCGTTGACGGCCCGCACGGCCCGCTCTGCCTCGCTGATCACGTCAGGGTTGCCGAGCGTGGAAGATCCGTACGCGCCCGGAGACCCGTTCAGGTCCGTGAGTCGCGGTGGTTTTTGCACGGGATTTGGCTCGCTAGGAGAGGCTTCCTCCGAGGAAGGTGTGGTGGGAGAATCCTTCACTGGGGTGGGGGAGGAGTTGGAGCGAGCCCGCGCCAGGACCAGAAACCCCACCACTAGCACGATGAGCGCCAACACCACCAGACCGACAGAGATCCCGGCGATGTGACCTGAATCCAGCTTAGCTTGTGTCGCTGCTCTCATTGTGACAGCCAGAGTGAAGTTAGCAGTCGCCGAGCCTGCAGAGTTGATGGCAACACAGCGTAGGGTGCCGGAGTCCGTCTCCTGTGCACCTGTTATCACCAGGCGGCTTATTAGGTTCCTGTCACCCTCTTGGATGACGTAAAGACGCTGTGGTCCAAGCCCTATCACAGAGCCGTTCACCACAGGAGCCTCGCCCTTATACCACATAACCTGAGGGGGGGGCTGACCACCTACGGGGCAGGCAATCGTTGCGTTCTCTCCCGCCACGCCCTCCACCAAACGCACAATTGGTAGAATCTGGGGAGGACAGGCGAAGTCTTCCTGCGTCAGTGTGTGGAAGGTTTTCCCTTTAACTCTACTGGGGGCGGTGCATGACGGGGAGACGGGGTGTGGGACGCGCTTCTCCTCCAGTAGCCGCCAGAGTGGCAGGGAACGACAGTCACACAACCACGGATTGCCGTGAACCTGCAGCCCATGTACACGTTCCAGATTCTTCACGACGGCCGGGGGAAGCTCTGACAATTGATTACCTTGAATCTCGAGCTTCTCCATGAGCGACAAGGATTGGAAGGCCGAGGGTGAAACATTTCTGATACCCGCACGGCTAAGGTCGAGGCGCACCAGGGACGGCGTGTGGGCGAAGCTGTCACCTCGAATCTTACGGAATCTGTTTCCCTGGAGTTGTAGATCCCTCAGGGCCTGGATGTGGGAGAACGATAGTGAAGGCACCTCCGTTAACAGGTTCTCGCTCAAGTCTAATTCAACCAGGTTAGTGAGCTGGAAGAAGGCTGTTGGATCAATCTGGCCGATCTTACAGTCACGCAGGTAGATCTTCTGTAGGTTGATGAGACCTGCCCTCTTGAAAGCGTGTCTTGGTAGAGTCTGCAGGTTGTTTCCAGACAAGTCGAGGACCTGTGTGTCTGGTTCGATCCCGTCAGGCACGTTAATCAGTCCTTGGTTCCTGCACTCCACTGCTTGCTTGCCGTTCTTCCACCTACAGGTGCAGACAGACGGACAGGTGGAGGCCGTGGCCAGCCTCAGCACCATCACCACCACCAGAACTCCACCACTCCACCACATAGACGCCATCACGGTCTCACTCTCCGTCAGGTGAAGCGAAAATCCGGCATCACTGTTTTTCACTACACACGACACAGGTGACGAGTCATGTACACACACAACCCCTGTCTACATGCGCACGCAACCCGCTCACAAGTGCACACGACGACTAAGATAAACGAGCAGTAGTGTTGTAAGGCCGTGTGGTGACGAGCTCGCTGGTGTCCACTGGAGGAGAAGAACCTCCTCTCATCAGTGGAAACCTAGAGCGCACGATTTTCTCTCAGTCTCTGCCAGGGTCTAGACGGGAGACAATAAACTCCCTCTTTGATGGATCCTTCCTTTCACGTATTTTTTTTCGTCCCCTCCTTGATAAAAGTCTTGTCTTCGGACGTCTTGTTGTCTTTAAAGTGGTGGAGGGCTGAGGGGGGAGGGGGCGCACACAACAGACACTCACACACCAAGTGAGGTAAAGGTGCAGGCCTCGTCAGCAGGAACAATGGCTGTGGGTTCTCACGAGTAACAGCCACCCACTTGCGCCAGTCACTATTTTAGTAATGGGTTTTGCGGGGCCACTGACTGCTGACGTAGTCTGCTGTACTCACTACCAGCAGAAGCAGGAGATCGGTCTGCTGATGTTCCTGCTTGTAATTCCTCCCTGCTTATGCGTCATTAGTTTACTTTAACACACACACGTCAGGGGAGGGTTAATTTAATAGTGTTGGGGTAAGTATCACCACCGCACTAGTCACCAACTCGTTATGTTCACCAACAATGTCCCGCTGGTCCTTAATCACCAGTCACAAGTTCTCTGTACCTGTGGCCCAGTACTCGGTCCACCATGTATGATACAGTAAGGTTTAGAGATTTATTCTCACAGCTCTTCGTATAAAAGTTTTCACAGTACACGTTTCTCACTTCTGTGTAAAAAGTATTCAGTCAGGAGCTTCATAATATATTCTCAGCTCTTGAAATAATAAAGGTTTGTCACAATATACACAATTCTGACCTTCTAGGTAAGTTAACTGTCGTTAATTCTGACAGGTGAGACCCCCAGAGTCGAGAAGTTGCTCAGTGCTCACACACTCCTGGCGACAATAGCTCCTCACGATAGCTGGCAGTGAGCAAGCTACGTTTTTTGCCCAACTTCCGGCCCGTGACTACACCGCCGGAAGTCGAGGTGGTCAAGGCACCACCACCGTCGCTGCCTCACGGTATTTCAAAAGTCCCAACTTTCTCAGTGACTTACCGCACACTGCCCCGAGTGTCTCCACAGACGTCTTGCGCTGTATCCTCGCGTTCGCCTTAACTCATAAACATACAAGTGTTGGCAAGGGGACCCAACTCTTCTTTTTATCAAGCGATTCGCTTCTGGGTCACTAATTCACTACTTATGAAGCTCACTTGAATTATTTTATTTTCTACGTTTATTTATGAGTTTCACTGTTACTGAGTTTTCATTATGTCTTGTCTTTGTTCAGTAATGTATAAAATAATCCTTTGGTAACAAGTCTCACAGGCAGGAACAATTTAACGCGCGAGTTCCCGAACAGGTGCTCGAAACTCCCTCAGGAAGAGTGGCGCTGTATACGTCCACGCTTTGTGGCTGCCCGAGCGGTACTGAAAACCTGGAGTCGCGAGGCTGGCTAGGCCGCCGCCGGTCACACGGGAAAATCGTTGCCACGTCGAGAAAATTTTAACAGACCTACACCTCCTCATTCTTCGCCTCCCTTCACAATCACCAAATCCTTACAACTCTTCAAAGACATCGGTGTATGTATGTTAACTCTCGCCCTACTGACCGCAGTACTTCTCCTGTTTGTTGCCAGGGGAGTCGTCATCATTTCGGGGGCCAGAAGAAACTCGGCAACTCCAAGTCGGAAGTCGCATTCGGAATCCTGTACACGGTAATGCACTGCTGGCGGGGGTGTGGGTGGAGGGTGTGTGTGTGCAGGGGGTTGGTTGTGGATGGTAGTATCACGCTGCCTCACCAACCACTCATCACCACTCACTCACCACATCCCACTCACCCCCACTCACTCATTATAGCTATAGCGTCATCTTATAGGTTAATCATAAGCTCTTGTGACCTCAGCGTAGAAGAGAGGGGGCTGGGGAGTGAGGTGTGGGGGGACCTCTACAGCTTCCTCATCTCACCCCTACCTTCCCTCACTCACCCCCACCTTCCCACACTCACCCCCACCTTCCCTCACTCACCCCCACCTTCCCAAACTCACCCTACCTTCCCTCACCCACTCCCCACCTTCCTCACCCACCCCTACCTTCCTCACCCACCCCACCTTCCTCACCCACCCCCCACCTTCCCTCACTCCACCCCTACCTTCCCTCATTCACTGTTGCGTCACTGAATGAAGCACCGTTCAGTGTTTGTATTTACTCAGTGACTCGCCAACCATTGTTACTGTGGTCCTGTCAAGTGTGCATGTGTGTGTGTGTGTGTGTGTGTGTGTGTGTGTGTGTGTGTTGTGTTTCATGGATGACTGGCCTCGTAGTAATAGAGAGGGTCAGACATCAAGATACATACATACATACATACATACATACATATATACATACATACATACATACATACATACATACATACATACATACATACAATTTCCGTATTACCTCTCCTCATTAGCCAACGTTTCAGGGTATAACTTTAACCAAGATAATAGTTACCATATCACCCACACCTGTCACCCACACTTGTCTCCCACACCTGTCACCCACACCTGTCTCCCACACCTGTCTACCACACTTGTCACCCAAACTTGTCTCCTATACCTGTCAGCCACACCTGTCACCCACGCCTATCTCCTCCACCTGTCACCCACACCTGTCTCCCACACCCGTCTCCCACACCTGTCTCCCACAACGCAGTCAGTTTGAAGGTCAGAATCTGTGTTTTTCTGTTCAATTTTGTCCTGGTATTAACACTGGCTGATGTGAGTTGTTGGCAATTGTTACAAGTTGACGTTTTATAATAAAGTGATTTCCTTACGCACTTGTACCTGATATTTAACAACAACAACAACAATAATAATAATAATAATAATAATAATAATAATAATAATAATAATAATAATAATAATAATAATAATATAATAATAATAATAATAATATGTATAATAATAATAATAATAATAATAATAATAATAATAATAATAATAATAAAATATAACCTACTATCCACTAATACAAATTAAAAGAAGCCAACGTTACAGGCAGGAAATATAACGTGTGTGTGTGTGTGTGTGTGTGTGTGTGTGTGTGTGTGTGTGTGTGTGTGTGTGTGTGTGTGTGTGTGTGTGTGTGTGTTTTGGTGTAAATTTATAAAGAATATTTTCATATAAATTTCCACACTGTAAAGCACTTGCAAGCCTTAATTGGACACGCTAACTATATACACTGAAATGAATGCGATACAGCCCTTCATTTTCAATTTATAGAGGAGTGTGATAATGCTGCCACAGAGGGAAAAAAAATAATAATATAAATTGAATGTTGTTGGCAAAATCTGTTGACAAAATCTGGAAGCCATGTTAGGTTGTTTTAATGAATAGGTTTTTTTTTTTTTTGTCACTGTTTCCCCTCACTGTTACATCATTAAGAGGAGGAGAGGGTATAGTGAGTCTCAGACCTCTATTTAACGGATTATATGGGGAGAAATGTCCGTTATCTCGAGGGTCCGTTAGATGAGAAACCTTCATTTAACGAATACTATATATATGAAAGTCCTTTATATCGAGGGTCCGTTAATTGCGGAACCACCTATTTAACGGATTATATATACTGTAGAGAGAAGTCCGTTATATCCGGGATGTTTTAGCTACCGTCCGTGTGTGTGTCAATCGCCACAAGAGACCAGACAGGTGTGTATGGTGGTCCCTAATAGGTGGATAAATCAGGTGATAATTAGTTATTAATGACTCATTAGTGTTAAAAAGAATTAGATACTAAATTACTTGATTAGATACAAATAAATGAAGTAATTAGCATTTATTGGGGGCCAGGCAATTAATGGTCCGAATAGGAGTCATTAGAAGGGGTCAAAGGTCATTAGGGTGATGTGAGGTGATTTGAGGCCATGTGAGATGATGTGAGGTGATGTAACATGACGAAGAGTAACTACTTAGAGATGAGTATTTTGGCCCAGGTATCATCGTATATAACACAGGTATATAACATTAAATTTAGTAAACCAATAAGAATCTTTAATGAAGGTTAAAAGGGTTAAATATTATAGTACATCCGATAAAATACCTTGACGTGGGAAGGTGTTTGTCTTCTGTTTTTTTTCTGTGTTTTTTGTGTGTTTTTAAGTGTAACAACGTGTTCAACATTAGATTCCAACGAGGCACTTGAAAGTTCACACGAGAGTAATGATCCATGCATGAGGGGATTAAAACACACACACACACACACACACAGACTCAAGTGTGTGTTTTGTTAACTCGTGATTGAGTGTGTTGTTTACGTGAGCACACAGTATGGCTAGTTAACTGTTAGTATACCGTGTGATGTTAACAGTGGTCCCCCCCACCCTCTCCCTCCTCCTCCTCCCCCCGTGTGTTATTGCTGCTTGGATCACACGGGATAGGACGCTTTTATGAGAATGATTACTATAGCTTATACACCCTTACTACACCACACTACACCACACCACACCATACCACACCACACCACACCATACCACCCTCACCATATCACACTCACCACTCTCACCACACCACACTCACCACCCTCTCACCACACCACACCACCCTCACCATACCACACTCACCACCCTCTCACCACACCACACCACCCTCACCACACTCACCAGCCTCTCATCACACCACAGCACCCTCACCACACCACACTCACCACCCTCTCACCACCCTGTCACCACACTATCACCACAACACATCAGGAAGGTGTCGACAGAATATTGTACAACATACAAAAAAAATAAATCGTCCCGCATCAGCAAACTTTAGGAATACTTTGACGTCAGGAGGAGGAGGAGGAGGAGGAGTAAAGGGAAGAGAGGAAGGGGAGAGGGAGGAGGAGGGAAGGAGGACGAAGACGGAGAAGGAGGAGGAGGGAGAGGGAGGAGTGTTAGTTACAAGACTAGAGAGGTCATTCTAAAACTACATCTTGCGCTTGTTAGACCTCACTTGGGTACGCAGTTCAATTCTGGTCACCGTATTACAGAATGGATATAGAATCCCTAGAAAGAATTCAGAGGAGAATGACAAGACTAATAACCGGGCATTAGGAACCTTGAGTACAGAGACAGGTTAAAGCATCTTAATTTGCACTCCCTCGAGAGACGTAGAGTGAGGGGCGATAGGATAGAGGTGTATAAATGGAAGTCAGGGCTAAACAAAGGTGACATTACAAAGGTACTCAAACTATCCAACCAGGATGGAACTCGTAACAATGGTTTTAAATTAGACAAATTTAGATTTAGGCGCGAAATAGGTAAACACTGGTTTGGAAATATAGTGGATGAGTGGAACAAGTTACCAAATATCATTATCAACTCGAATACGCTGGATAGCTTCAAACAGGTTGGGTGGATATATCAGCGATGGGGGTTGGGTGTAAACGGGACTGCCCAGTATGGGCCAATAGGCCCGCTGCAGTTTCCTCCATTCTTATGTTCTTTTGTTCTTATGAGAAAGGGGAGCGGAGGAGGAGGGTAGGGGGAAGAGGAACAGGAACAGGAGGAGGAAGGGGAAGGAAGAGGAACAGGAGGAGGAAGGGGGAGGAAGAGGAACAGGAGGAGGAACTCAGAAATATTTTAACACCATCTAGGAAATACACATTAAAACATTACTATAAAATTAACACATCCCTTGAACACTTAAGTACATTGATTATAATGTAAACATATACACATTTACAAACAAACATAGGTTCACACATACATAGACACACACATGTACGTTTATGTGTACTTGGAGATATATATATATACCCACACGTACATGTATGATCCATTGTGAAGAAAAATAATAATCAGCTCAATGGTCGCTTTCACTACCTTGATTGACTGATGTTTTCCCCAGGTGAGAAGTTGTAGGGGAACAGGTAAACCAGGTAAACACAGCCGCTCATTAACTCCTGGTCACCTTGATTGTGTCTTTGAAGGCTTCTTCCTCTTTCACGAAATCGAGTTGAAGAAACGTAAAAAATTAAATAAATAAATAAAAATTTTAAAAAAGGTTGAAAAAACCGTCATAATTGAAAGTAGAATGATGGAAATTGATAAAGATGTAAATAAAGAAAAACGATAACGAAATTTGAAACGGTAATAAGATCTTGAAACGATAGCACAGGTTGAGACGATGAAGAAGGTACAGTATAGCGTTATCCAGTCTCGCCGAGCTGAATGTTTTTAAGAAAGCCATTGGTTGTTTTGTTGATATGGTTCTTTGTTAGGTTAGGTTAGGTTAGGTTAGGTTAGGTTGGGTTAGGTTAGGTTAGGTTAGGTTAGGTTAGAAAGTATGGTAAATAACACCAATTCTGTTCCTCATTGAGATTCATAATTATTATTTTTTCACCAAATAATTCAACAGATATAAAAATACACACACGGGTCATTATCAATGAG